TTTCTGCAAATAGAAAGGAAACTGAGGAGTTTTTATCAGCTCTAATTTCTGATGATGAACATGATGATAGGTCTTTGGAGAGTGAGAATGAGCCTTCAACTCCTGATATTGATGAGGATAATGTGCTCAACACCAGTACACTAGATGATGAGAATAGCGGCGGATCTTTAGCTGAAAGTGAAACTAGATCTAGTACAGATGAGTTGGATTTTGATGAACCTTCAAGTTTTTCCTCAACTATTCCTGAAGTTGATGATGTAGTCAGCAATGTGGATAAAAATGAGGAGGGTACAGATAAAGGGGAAACTAGTGCAGATGAGTTAGGTGTGGATGAACTGATGGATCACAGTGTCAATGAGGAAGAAATTAGTGAAGGCTTTATAGAAGGAGATGATCTTAATACTGAACATACAAGACTTGATGATGACCTATTCTTACCATTGTATCCTGGTTCGGCCATATCCATATATGGTGCTATTTTGGCAATTATGTCTTTCAAGAGAGAATGTAACCTACCATTTAGTACTGTCAGCAAGCTACTCCTGTTACTCAAATTACTGTGCCCCACTGGTAGCAAATTACCAAGTAGTGTGTACATGCTACGGAAATTCTTTCGTTCACATCAGTGCAAAACAGTAAAAAGGGTTTTCTGCTCAACATGCAACCTAGAGTGCAGCCATGGATCTATATGCAGCAACACTAACTGTAAAACTAACAAGTCTGAAAACGATGTTTTTATTCAAATTGACATGCAAGAGCAATTAAAGAACACTTTGTCACGTAAGTTACCATTATTTTAAACTAGCAATTCAAATTTTGCTTACATAAAATTATAGGCCACTGGAAAGACATTCAATTTATTCAAGCTTCTTCAAACTCAATTTCAACAATAACTATGTTAAGGCAAGATGAAGAATTTTTTCTTGCAAAGAATACATAGGTGTTGTATTAAATACTGATGGTATTTCTATATTTAAATCATCTAGGACTTCAATTTGGCCAGTGTATCTTGAAATTGCAAACTATCCACCATCAATTAGATTTCGTATGGACAACTCAATAGTTTGTGGTATGTGGGTTGGTCAATCGAAACCACCAGTTGATATCATGTTGCAACCAATTATGGAAGAGATAGATCAACTAAATACGCTAGGTTTTACTTTCTCAAGTCCAGATGGAATAAAAACTGTTCGAATAAAATTGCTGTTTGGAGTGTTTGATTTAGTGGCTAAGGCAAAAATATTGAATATGACTCAATTCAACGGTTATTATGGATGCTCAACTTGTCTTCATCCAGGTCAGCATCATGAACGAAGGCGAGTTTATGCAACAGACAAAGAGTACCCAATGCGAACAGAAGCAGGAATGGAACGTGATGTTCAGGCAAGCATAAGACAAAACACAATTGTTCATGGAATAAAGGGAAAATCTCCACTCTATGGTTATTTAAGCATGATTAATGGCATTCCACCAGATTATATGCACTGCGTTCTTGAGGGAGTGACAAAGTCACTACTTACACTCTGGACCAGCTCTAACTACCACAATAAGCCATATTCAATTAGAAGAGATCTCCCTA